AATGGATGGTGCCTCCGCGTTCAACACACGTACAGCCCGGGGACGTCTCCTCCTTCTTGATCCAGCAATGGGAGAGGAGAAGTTGAGGGAGAACTCCGACAGCACGACGGCGTGGTGGTGGTGGAGCTCGTGGTTCTCCAGCAGGGCTTCGCCAAGCACTACGGAGGAGGAGAAGGTGTTGGAGGAGGGAGAGGGTTGCGCCAGGGAAGAGGTGCGGCTGCCCTCCCACCCCTCCACTATATATAGGGGAAAGGGGAGAGGGGGAGGCGCCCTAGGGTTTCCCCTAGGGGGCGGCGGCCAAGCAGATTGGATCTCCCTAGAGAAAATCCTAGGGAGACTTGCCCCCCAAGCCAAGCAGGTGGAGGATTGCCTCCCAAGCCAGGTGGAGGCGCCCCACCTCCCCAAATAACGTGGGAAAGGGTGTGGGGGGCGCACCGCCCCTTAGTAGGCTGGTTTGCCCCTTCCCCTTTGGCCCATGAGGCCCTCCAACACTTGTCGGGGCTCCCGAAACACCTTTCGGTCATGCTGGCCATAGCCTGGTACCCCCGGAACACTTCTGGACTCCAATACCCTTCGTCCAATATATCGATCTTCACCGCCGGACCATTCCGGAACTCCTCTGACGTCCGGGATCACATCCGGGACTCCGAACTACCTTCAATAACCACATACTATTTCCCATAACAACTCTAGCATCACCGAACCTTAAGTGTGTAGACCCTACGGGTTCGGGAACCATGCAGACATGACCGAGACGTTCTCCGGCCAATAACCAACAGCGGGATCTGGATACCCATGTTGGCTCCCACATGTTCCACGATGATCTCATCGGATGAACCACGATGTCGAGGATTCAATCAATCTCGTATACAATTCCCTTTGTCCATTGGTATGTTACTTGCCCGAGATTCGATCGGCGGTATCCCTATACCTTGTTCAATCTCGTAACCGGCAAGTCTCTTTACTTGTTCCATAATGCATGATCCCGTGACTAACTACTTAGTTACATTGAACTCATTATGATGATGCATTACCGAGTGGGCCCAGAGATACCTCTCCATTATACGGAGTGACAAATCCCAGTCTCGATTCATGCCAACCCAACAGACACTTTCAAAGATACCTGTAGTGCACCTTTATAGCCACCCAGTTACGTTGTGACGTTTGGTACACCCAAAGCATTCCTACGGTATCCGGGAGTTGCACAATCTCATGGTCTAAGGAAATGATACTTGACAATAGAAAAGCTTTAGCAAACGAACTACACGATCTTGTGCTATGCTTAGGATTGGGTCTTATCCATCACATCATTCTCCTAATGATGTGATCCCGTTATCAATGACATCCAATGTCCACGGTCAGGAAACCATAACCATCTATTGATCAACGAGCTAGTCAACTAGAGGCTCACTAGGGACATGTTGTGGTCTATGTATTCACACATGTATTACGGTTTTCAGTTAATACAATTATAGCATGAACAATAGACAATTATCATGAACAAGGAAATATAATAATAACCATTTTATTATTGCCTTTAGGGCATATTTCCAACACACATTTCCACCAATCGCTTTCTCCTCTATGTGAGGGGAACCCCTTGGATCTAGATCTTGGAGTTCTTGGTGTTCTCCTTCTTATTCTTCCTCTCATTTTCCTCCCTAGCATTAGTTGCTTTGGTGGCATTTGGGAGAGAAGGACTTGGGCACTCCGTGTGCCCTTACCATTGCATTTGGTGCATCAGTTTGAGTTCTCCACAGTGATATGTGGAAGTTACAAGTTGAGAAGCTTATTAGTCTTGGGTGCTTGGTACCCTTGAGCTTGTTCCTCTTGGGTGCTTGGGCGCCCTAGACGGTTGGTGGTGTTCGGAGCTCAATCATTGTGGTGTAAAGCTCCGGGCAAGCGTCGGGGCCTCCAATTAGGTTGTGGAGATCGCCCCGAGCAATTTGACGGGTACCGGTGACCGCCCCCAAGGGTTGCCAAAGTGTACGGGTTCGGTGACTGCCCCCAAGGGTTTCCATTTATACGGGTTCGGTGACCGCCCTCAAGGGTCCCTAGTGGAATCACGGCATCTTACATTGTGCGAGGGCGTGTGGAGATTACGGTGGCCCTAGTGACTTCTTGGGGAGCATTGTGCGTCCACACCACTCCAAACGAAGATTAGCATCCGCAAGGGTGTGAACTTCGGGATACATCATCGTCTCCACGTGCCTCGGTTATCTCTTACCCGAGCCCTTTACTTATGCACTTTACTTTGTGATAGTCATATTGTTTCTTGTCATATATCTTGGTATCACCTAGTAGTTTATCTTGCCCTTTATCCAAAATATGGCAACTAAATCGCCTCCAGTTTTAGTTGTCAATTATCAATGATCCATCGTTCTATTTGATGAAACATCTTGCAATCATTAAAATTATGCTTGAACAAAACATACAACATGTACATTTGTCCTTGCATTTATGGCTTGACATGGTTATCAAGATTTCTAATATAATCATTCTTCGGCAACAAATCAAAAATATGATCACACATGCTCAAATTGAAGGTATACTTGTCGTTCTCTAGCCGATCTTGTTGTGAGAACAATCTTAGAACTAAGCAAATGAATGGTCCATATTCGACATCTTAATTGCGGTTTTCGCCATGCCATAATCCGGTGTCAATACGTGCATATATGAACTTATCACGACGTTCGCGCCCAAGCTCCCATTTAGGTTGCTCTTATTTTCTCGGAGAGGGCTACGCAATGGTGAACTCCAATTCTCAAATTGACCGCATCCTTCTGTGTGTTCAAGTCATCCTTTGCGATTATGCCATTTTTGAGAGTCCAACATTTGAGCAAGCTAGTCAGTCTGCTTCCACGAGCTTCTTTGTAATAAGAGAGTGATGTTTGGTTGGATTCTGGTCTGTGTGGAAAATGCCAATGAAGGACGAGCTCCTTGGAGCTCGTTTTCAAAATATCATTTTCTACAACCCCAAAAAAAACTCCAGTTTTTTGTGAACATGTATACAAAATGGGCTGATTTTCTTATTGTTGGGCCGGATTTTCTTTTTACAGCCTATATACATCACGATATTTTCAAACGAATTTTCACACGTTCATGCTGAACACAAGTTTCCATGGAATTTTTTCCAATTATTTTGGGACGTCTAAATGTGCTTTTTGAATTTGTGAAAATAGCGGCCTCCAGGGAGCCCGTCCTCCAAAAATTCACACTCCGGGTCTGTGGCCCTTTTCCTCCAAATGCCAAGTGGTTGGACTTTAAGCTCGTGTGAAGTGACATACGTAGAGTACATGGGTTGTACTAGATGCTAGCACATTGTGCAGCATCGGATCGGCCGTAAAACTGCCCGTGATCTACCAATCTAGGAGCATGATGACCAGCTGTCCACCTGACCTGGGGCTTGGTACGAATGGTGATGGAACAATGGTACGAACCATAGTACACAGTACACGACCGACCATATCTCCTTGGGATGCACGCAGCGTATTGCATCTTTTGGGCAGAGGCATGCAGCAGCTGTACACACCCATCGCTTGCTTGCTGGCCTGGGCCTGGGTGGATCGCCGACCGACCCTGATCGCCTTGCTGTTTTGGTTTGTCTACTTGCTCGGTAGCGCGCTTTGCCCGCCTAAGCCTAGTGCCTAGTGGCATCCTCCAGGGCTCTCTGGCCGGCCTCGCCACCGTACGTACGACGGCGTGCATGCATGGGGTACGTCCGTACGTACGTGCAACAACGCAGGCAGCTGGCCTGTTTCCTTTTTCTCGCTTGCTTCGGGGCTCCTTGCAAGTGCGATCCTGCATGGGTCACGCGTAACGTGGCTGATGCCATGGGCCTCACACAGACACAGCCACCAACACCAATCATGGCCTTTCTTTCACCGCAACGGTGGAGCTAGCTTGATTAGTCGGCTAGTTTGGTGCTGCGTCCCCTCTGTCCCTCTCCACTATGCCGGTTCTCTCCTTCCCGATGAAACATTGGAGCTAACAGTACGTCCATTTCTGTTTCCTCGTTCATTGATCTGGGGTTGGTGCCTGTTCGCCGCGCCAACATTTGCGCTATCCCACACATTTCAGCCACTTCTCTCCTGTTTGAAACTTTGGGTGCTACTTTACCATGCAGGCGTCCGCATCACAAGTCATATTCCAGGGAGACAAACGTCCTCCCCAGTCTGGTGGCTTCACGTCACATTACGCCGTACGTGGCATCCTCCCCGTCCGGAAAAGGCCAAGTACAGGTCGTATCAACCAGTCAAATGCAACAGATGCTCGGTTTCACCGATAATACAGTAGGGAAATCATGCGCGCTGCCATCCATCGTAAATAAGAGTATTGCTCCGTTTCAAAACAAAATAAGAGTATTGCATGCAGAAAACAATCAAACTGGCGTAGCATCACATTTGCCACTCAGAACTGCAAAGGTCGTCTTCATGACCATTCGATGTGCCCAACAGAAGCGCAGCCTACTGGATGATGAAGGACGCTATGAAGATTTGAGCACACACCAGATGATGTAACAAATGAAACAATGGCCACACAACTGAGAAAAAACAAGTTTTTACTTACTAGTCGGAATGAAACAAGGGTACTGATTAGGTACAGCGAAACTGCTACTAGACCTTATCTACTCGGTAATCTTTCCTCGTACCATGACAAACAGAACAAAATCAAACACTGGCACTAATCAATTCCTCCCTCACTTAATAATGGTAATATAATAGCAACATATAATATAAGCAACACACGAACTGCAGTTAAGCCTTGGTTTTTTATTGTGCTCTTGTCGACACCACCCTTGGAACCAGCTCTGTGAAGCCAAGTTGTAAAACTGAAGCCCATCTGCACAACAAGGGGCGATTACAAACTGAATCAAACTGACTTATTAATGTGTATGTACATTGACTTCTGAATTCTGAGATGGATACCTTGGTTAGTGACTCATACCGCCATGAAGAGTCGAAGTGATAGAAAGGTCTAACACTTCAAACTTGTAGTTATTATCTTTCTGGTTGATCAGAACTCGAAGCTCCATTAGGAGGTGTGGACATGTTGCTCGTCGATCCATTCTCCGCTGGTGGAGGAATTCCCCACTTTCTCTCAGATTCCAACGGTTCCATGACATAAACACTGCCATCAGTAAGCCCTAGAGCAAACTGATTTGCCTCCGAAGGATGTGCCGCAACCACAACTGGATGAACATTTGAACTATAAAAGAAACACATGTCAGCAGTTTACTCACAATTCAACAAAACCAGTTTTTGAGTGGCAACAGTATTAATGACTTGCTTGTTGTGAGTTTAAGGGAAGCAAACATGTGGTTGGCAAAAAAAAATGGACTATTCATAGAACAGTTCTGTTACAACTTCAGTTCGACAGAGTAACTAGTTTGTGGTTACACTGCTGAGAGCCAATCGGATGTAATAAGATATTACATTATGGGACGTTAGGAGTAGTTTTTCCTATAAATGCCTAACGATGTATTCCAATTCAGTTTGATACATGTAGCACTGCAAACCCATATACTTCTTTAAATATGGTACTATAAACTGGCAGGGCGATGCAAATACAGAACTCCCTCATGGAGAGGGTCCAAATGCACTGAGAAAAAAAATCACTGGGGAGTTGAAACAATCTTTGTTCTAATACCAAAAGATGGATTTTTGTTCAGGTATGTATCTTACGGATTTAGTAGCTCAAGGCAACAAAAAAATATAAATCTCCCAAACAAGTATTAGCAATCTGTTATGGACATGCACTTGCTAGTCTAAGCAGCACTTCAGATAACTCAATTCTATAACTTCCCTTAGAAAGGTGTATCATGTTATTGCACTGAAGTAAAGTAATTGCTTGAGAACAAAAAACACTAATTCAAACACAGACCCTCTAAAATGAGGCCAGCCAAGATCCTTTCAGAAGAGCTAGACAATTAACCCAGTAGCTCACAACCCCCTGAGTCCCTGACAGAGTAAATTATGTTTGGTTTGAGCCTTATAGAATACCTGATATTTTGAGGAAGATAAGAAGCTGGAAGAATTCGGCATTGGAGTCTCAAACTTGATGCGCTAAATATGCAGACAGTGGCGTCCAGAAAGCTTGCATAAATCAGTTGACTATCACATGAGAATGTAGCATGTGTTATTGGAGGAGCAGAGGTCTCCCGAGGAGGCCACTGAAAGCAAAGTTAAGGTGAGTGAGCCACAAGACAACCTTCGTAGCAAGAAAGACTAAGCGTCAAATGATAATGGAAGAAATTTCACCTGCTTCACAGGTTCTAGTTTTGAGGCATCGTAGATGGCAATCTGGGTCTCATGGACAACAAGACAATGCTGTTGATCTTGGTGGAACTGAACTCGTGTGTCTAAGATGTTAGACGTTGGGCGGCCAGATGGTATCTGCAAAAATCTGCTCCTTTGCCTCTCCCACCCATCAGTGTTCCAAACACATATCTACAACAGGAACAAATCAGAAACTGAAGATGAAACAGAAGTTCTTGATAGACATGATCTGACTAGATAGTTCAGTAAATACCTGCGCATCAGCTCCAGAGGATACCAAAACATTTAACACATTTGAAAATGCGAGACCTGTAATTTTCTTAGAGTGCCCTCTAAGTTTGCTTTTGACCTGTACAAAAAACGAATACATCTTATCTGAGTGCACCTTGTTCACTACAGAAAAAAATAATGATAATCATGTTATAGCAGTTGCTAATACCTCATCAATCCGAACGTTGTAAATTTGGATGGTTGAATCATCCATTCCAATTGCAATTATGTTGTTATCTTGAGGATGGAATGCGAGGAAAGTAGCTGCTGGTGGTGGAGGCATAAACGTGGTCATCGTCTGCAGTCACCATAAATGTTAAGGGCATCTTCTACCGTAAAAATGATAATTACACATGATCACAATGATTTACTAACCTTAAAAGTCATCATGTTGAATAGAGAGATTTTCCCTCCTGAAGCTGACATGACATATGAATCATTCTTTGACAAAGCAAAACAGTGAACGGCCTCATCAGGACTATTGTCAATTGTGTCATTAGTCATGAGAATGCCACTTGGAGGTTGCCATAATTGAGGAGAAACACTAGCAGTAGCCTAGAAGAGAATAGCAAATTAAAACAATTAGTAACAATCAAATATACAGTGTTCACCTGTGATGCACATATCTAGTAAGAAAGCTGAACACAACCAGAATTTCACCTTTCCAGTTGAATTTCGTTCATTGCGTGGCCATTTCCATAGTAGATGGACGGCATTTGAAGCTAAAGCCAAGATAGCAACACCTGAATTTGTGTAGATCAGTCTCGAGATCTGCAATAAAGACAAATAAAAACTTGTGACAAACTAAGCATTGACACTAGCACACCAAACGGAACAATTCATAATACAAGTAAAAAATGTGAGATGCCCTTTGCGCATTATACAGTACAGGCAATATTGACTGACTTCGAAGCCCTAGGTGCATATAGATAAGCATGTGCATAGCTTCACTTAGCAGTCATAATGAATGTTGATGTCCGCAAGACACTTGTCAAACATTAAGCACCTAACAAGAGCTAAAACAGTTGTTCTACACGTAGAAATCACACTATGAATTAATTTAATAAAATAGTTATCTTATAAATGGCAGTGCACCGACAAGATTGCTAGAAAATGATGCATATTCAAACATATACAGAGGTACTCCCTCCGTTCCAAAATAGATGACCCAACTTTGTACTAACTTTAGTACAAAGTTGGGTCATCTATTTTGGAACGGTGTACAAAGTTGGGTCATCTATTTTGGAACGGTGTACAAAGTTGGGTCATCTATTTTGGAACGGAGGGAGTAAAAGGCAAGGGAAGAAGTATCACCTTAGCGGTCCTAATACTATCACCTAATTTTAATGATCTGCACTGAGCTGTATCAGTTATCTCCATAAGCTTCCAGACCTTTGACTTATCCATTGACTCATCAGCTATTCTAGGTTTTACATCAACCAAGCTTCTGTTGTCACCATTCTGTCAAAAGAAGTCCAGAATAAGATCAAGTTAGTTGGGATCACAATGTAAATTGTTTATAATAGAACAGACCAAATGAATCTGGATGAAAACAAACCATTGCAGTTATAGGTGATGGAGCAGCAGTTCCAGAACTGGTTGCAGCGGCAGCGGCGGCAGCAGCTGCCGCAGCAGCAGCAGCAGTCAATGGGTTTATAAGAGGCTGCACCAATAAGAAATGATTGAGTCATGCATGCGGGAAAAACAATCTCAAGTTGTTCCTTGGTTAAAGTAACTACCTTTGTTACAGTCTCAGATGCACTACGAGAAGCATCAAAAGAACGATTTTCCAGTGTGCGCAATAAACGAACACCATCAGCATTTGCTAAGACTTTGATACCATTATCAACAGTAGAGACAGCCAACAGAGTACCCTCCTTGTTAAAGCGGATACGCGGGCTTGCCTGATAATTATGAGACCAGCCACCAAGTTAGAACAAGGAAGGGAGGTTCTTGTACATTTATATCAAATCAGAAATTCACCAACATAAGCACACAAACGAAAGGAACTCACAGGTAAGCCACCATCAGCTTCAATGGTAGTCAGAAGACTAGTGTTGTCCATGTCCCAAATCTTTATCACGAATTCATCTCCAGCAGCCAAAAACCTATTCCGCGTCGTATCAAATTGTACAACACCCATAGATCGCTTACGAAATCCCTGGTATGTTCTCTTCACCGCACCTTCACTCTCATTCCATTCCACCAGGTGTGATTCACCCTCCTTGCTGGTCCCACAAGAAAATAATCTACATAGAGGCAAGAAAAGAGTGAAACAAAGTACAAACACCTGCATAATCCTAACTAAAAATGTTAACAATGAATTTAGATACGAACCTTGAACCATCTGCACTATATGCCATCGTAGTGCACCAATGACCTGGTGCATCATAGTCAACTCTGGACCCAAGATTATCATACAGCCATGCCTTTATCTTTCCATCTAAAGCAGTTGAAAAGATGAACTGCGTAATAGGCAGGTAAAATGAGGTAAAAAAACATTAGCTTCCGATAGAAAGAACAATAGTCTGGTACAAATGCCTGACATAATAAATGCTTTTCAAGTACCTGAATATTTTCCTTATAATGTGGACAAACGGAATAGACAGGAGCTTCATGACCTTCAAAGGTAAATTGTTTTGTTCCACTGGTGGCCTCCCACACCTAGAATGCAATTATTGTAGACTTCATATTTCTAGTTAAACAAGATAAAATACAGTCCCAGAATTAATACCATCACAAGAACTCACCTTTATGGTCTTATCATCTCCACAGGTAATTATACACAGCTGCTTATTTGGATGAGCGAATGCAATGTCATTTACGCCACCAACATGTGCATCAATCTAATCAACAAACAGTTTATAATCATATTCAGGACACAAGATAGCAAACCATGTACACAAGACAATGAGCCATAAGCAGATAGTAATAAGTGATAAGTATATGCAGTCATACCTCCAAGTGTTGCCTAATATCATCGCCACCATGATAAGAATAAATCTGTACTATATGCCTTGAATAAGCAACACCTTTTAAACATAACATAACATTAGAAGAGGGCCAACTTGAAAGAACAGCAATAAAAAAAACTGTTCACTGCATCTTACCAAACAAGGTTCCATCAGGACTCCATATTATGCGATTAACCGACACGGTAGGATCCTTAACCAGTGCTGCCTGTTTGTACAATTTACATTTTACGCATACTTATATTGAGTACAGGTAAAAATACCAGGTTACTGAACTACATATTGCAGTGAACAAACCTGGAGGGCCATAGAACATTTCCCAAGCTCCCAAACCTTGAAGTTTCTTACAACAAGTCTGTCCTTGGTGCCAACATCCCACAATCCAATGTCACCAACATTGGTACCAACTAAAACAGATACCAAGTGAAAAATGCACAAGAATGAGATGCTATGGGAGAAAGAAAGATTTATCACGGGCACAGACGTTAAAGAGCTTACCAAGAAGAAGTGTTTGTTGAACTGGATGGAAATCCATGCTCATTGGAGCTGATCCTTGACTCAATGTCCGTGCGACAGCTTTATGGAAATCATCTTGCGGGTAGCTATGGCTCTGCGGATAAGTTACTGGCATCATATTCACCGGAAGATTCACCTGTGAAATACAACCCAGTTGCAATCAAGTATATATTGAGGATTGATAGGCATAGCATGCCAAGATTATCAAGTACAGACTGCAAGAACCCAATAGCGGTGAAAGATTTTTTAGGGAGTGAAATTGCTAATACCTCCTCAGACAACCCAACTGGCCTAGGTCTCTTACTGACATGATCAGAATCTCCAGATGGGTAATCCATAGAAGGGTTAGCAGCCGAGGGTGTCCTAGGATGCTTCAACATAGCAGCTACAAGATATACATCCAGAACAGTGTTAGTCAACCATGCAATACCACCTATTCATAACATTCAGGAATTCCTTGCAATATTAACAAACATAAGTACCAGGATTCGTAGGAGTACCAAATCCAATAGCACCTCCAGAAACAGCAGGATGTGTTACTGCTGGAGGGTTTGACATCCAACCGGCCAGAGGTGCGACGGGTGTTGGTGCAGGTTGAAAGGGCTGAAACAGACATAAACCAGATTGTCAATAAATGTACACACTAAAACACATAGATGAAGTGTCCAGATATGCTCAACAAGCTTACTCCATGGGCGCCCAATTGGGGGAAACCACCAGGTTTAGGTATAGATCCAAGTAGTGGATTGTTTGCTGGTGATGGAGCACGTGCACCATTTGGTTGTCCACAAGAATGATCAACAAAGAGGGTCTTGATGTCAGGATTAGGCCTAGGATTTTTGCAAAGCTGGTGCTGCCAGTTTAAGCTGCCATATAATACACAATAACATTACTACTATGGTAAATGGAGTTAATGGTGGGGTCCCAACCTTCCACCTCCTTCAGAAGTAACAAACAAAAACACAAATAACAACAATTTCACAAGCAAATTAAGTTAAACACAATTTTATTCTTATCCAAACAACAACCTCCTTCGTGTTAATTACCCCACCCAGGCCTGGCGGCAGAGCAAAGAGCATGGTTTAGGCCTTGCACGTGGTGGTATGGTAAATCCAAAGATTCACAAACGTGTGGATGCGAAATTAAACCCAGAATCTCGATAAGGCGGAGGAATGTAGGGTAGGCCTAAACCCTAATCCTAGCGGAATCGTCAACTAGGGCTGACTCTGATAATCTAATGGAATACCCATTTATTGACAATAAATAATGGAAACGTAAATAGTAATGAATCAAGGAAATAGTAGGCTAACTAGTTGAATCTGCAAATATTTGTGACATCTATACAAGTTTCAGTTCCAAAGAAATGGAGACTGCAGGTTAGCAAATAGGGGTGACAAGTTATATGGAGATTCTTTACATATTTGAACTTCAAATTGTATTGGACTGCTGGAAAAATGTAAATGCAAACACGTGACTCAATTTTTTGGATATTCATGACTGTAGGATCCACAAAACTCGTCATGAAGAGCAACCTTATTTACAATATAAATATGCAATGGTAGTGATGGGTTAATGGACAAGATTATAACATTAAGAAACCAAGTTTTGCCATGAATGAACAGCAGCCCTCACTTAGCTTATGGAAAATAAAGCCAGGTCCAATTTTCCTAACCAAGCATGGTTGGTTTAAATAAAATTGGGGAGAGCAGAATGTGGGGCACAGCCTCGCTAGCATATAACATTCTACTGGATCAGTTTTACAAAGGATAAAATGAGAATTAAAATCCTCTCATGAGGGTTAAGTAATTTTATTGGATTAAAGAATGTTCACCTAGATCTATAACTAGCATCATCAGTTTAGCAGCAAGCAGCATATAAGAATACATAAGATGCCCATACAACAGAGAGTAAGGGTGCCAAGAATATTATGTTTCTTTATGTGATACCTCTGGTTGATAAGTGTCCGTAATCTAGAACTCTTCAGATTGGGAAACTGAAGCTTGTCACGGAACAAGGGGTTAGCTTCGATCAGCTTCTTCAGCTCAACAAGCATTATTGCTCTTGCAGATTTTGTATCACCATACTTGGAGAGCTGCTCATTCTCTCTATCAATAATAAAAGCAGGAACCAATCACTGAGCAATCCAGTAACGGTTAAGAGCCACACGAATGATGGCAAGAACCTAATGTTACAAATGAATGCAATCACGCAGATTTTACCTGAAGTTCTCCAGAGTCAATAGCTGTGTGATCTCCTTAAACAGCTCCTCATTAAAGGATGCAAACACCTTCAAATCCTTGACCAAGATTTCAACCGCCTTGGACCGATCATGCCTGGCAGAAAAGGAAACCATAGTCATGAAGGCGGTCCAGCATTTACAATCATATAAAGACATCTCTTCCCCTTGCACTTACTTGTCGAGGGCCTCGAGATACTTCTGCTTGCGGATCTCAAAGAATATCTTCATCGAGTAGCGGTTGTCGTCGACTTTGGTGAAGCCCCCGAGGTAGCGCTCCACCTCATCCCAATTCCCATTGATCACCTCGTCCTCGAAGTACTTCATGTTGAAGTAGAAACCAGACTCCTGCTCGAGCCTAAACGGCGACAAGGGCAGGTTCCAAGTGAGCAACGCTAGACAAACGAACAGCACCAATTTTTGACCTTTTTTTAATTTTTGGAGTTTGAATCACTCACTTGTGGACGGTCTCCTTGAACTTCTCCTCATCGAGGAACTGCAGGATGAGGAAGACGAGCTCCCGGCTGAGAGAAGACATCCTCGCTTCCCCGACTCACCCACCAGGCGGCGGATGCAACTCGGCTGTAGACCTAGCCTACGGGGGCGCAGGACCCCCACTGCGGAATAAGATTCCGATTCCAGGTTCAGTTCACGATCGCTCACAGCCCAGCCGCGGCGGAAACAACATACGACGGGAAAAAAACAGATCAAAAGCGAGATCGATCCAGGCGGGTTAGGGCTTTACCAGCGGAAGGAACCTCCCCGGCTCGGATCTCCTCCGCTCCGCCCCGCGCCGGGCGAGCAGAGCGGGGCCGGCGGAGGGCTCGAGGCGGCGCGGGTCGGCGGGGCGCCCGGCGGCGGAGATCCGGGGGCTGCGCGGCTTCCGATTTGGGGGGGCGGCCGGGGCGGGGCGGGGCTCTATCGCGAGAGGACCGAGAGAGCCGGGAGGATGAGACTGAGGCAAGGGGCAGTATCGTAAGTCAACAAAGGGAACGGGGGTGGGGAGCAGAATTCCTCTATTTATATCGGACGAGACGAGACGATAATGGAACCCCCCTCTCCCCTCCCCTGCGCGTCTATATATACTCGCACACTCCCCAAACGACATATGAGAACGTGCAGGATAAAATATCTTTATCGTTACATGGACAGGAAAGAAAAAAAAAACACGCCTTACGTTCGCTGCACGCGTTCGCCCCAAACCCTAGATCTGTTTCGGAACCTGCCATATATATACGCACATATCTCGACGATTTTGAACACGGCATAGAAAAACTCGCCCAGAAATGCAGATCCAAACCCAGAAATCGGGCCCGTGGAAAGCTAGGGCTCCTTTCCGATCCTGCTGCCGGATCTTTGTTGGCATGGGTATACGCAGAACGAACTCCTTTGCCCCCGCATAAAAATTCCAGGATCGAATTCGAATCAAAAATATCCAGCCAACAACTGCATAATTCCGAACGAAAAGCAAAATCAGAGGCTGTGCTGCACTTACGGAGCTTTGTAGCTGGAGGGACCGGAGAAGAGCTGTGGGGAGAGGAAATGGGTTGTTGGGGGCTAGGGCAAGGAGGGGCAACCACCTCGCGCTCCTATTTATAGGAAATTCTCGTATTGCCACTGATAAGAGTGAATGCTTATCGATCTGCTCGTCTGCCTCTCTCGATCCGCTTATCAGCTTATCGCATCTGATAAGCGCTGTGTGATAGGCTGATCAGACGCGGGAGGTAGTGGTAGGGTCCATCGGGCTCCATCGCCATTAGCGCAAGGGAATCCGCGTTTGGATTTGCTTTTAATGAAGACGTGTCCAGTCTGTACCCAACAACTAAAAGACGCCTTTTAATGCTCTCCTCTCTCAAATAAAATCGGCCTTTTCTATTTCTTACTATTATCAAGGAAAACACGTAAGGCAAGACAAATTAAGATATCAGGATTTGACATTTCGTTCACAAATATTTAATTGTGTTTTATTATCCATATATTACCTCTGTCCTAAATTTGTTGCCGTAAATTTGTCTAGGTACGGATTTACCTAACGGTAGATTCATCCGTATTTTTCTAGAACGTATCTAGATGCATTCATATCTAGATGCCCTGTATGTAGACAAATTTAAGACAATTAATTCAAAAAGGTGAGTATTTTTTTTCTAAATCAGAGTTGTATTAATTAAAAGAGGAAACATTGTTCTTACAATTTTGTAAGGCCACACTCAACACGCAGGTTGGCACTGTCTCTTGCATAACATCAACAACAACTCTCTACGCCCAAACTGGGCAAGACTATGGGCTAAACTATTGACCTTCCTATCTACTTTACAAACTTTAACTTATTTGTTTCTATGCTTGATGGCATAAAATTCCTTTAATCTCTCCAATTTCCAATCTATCCACACATACGGGGTCGAGCGCCTTTGCCACCAAGTTGTTGTCTGTCTCGACAACTAAATGGAGGTCAGTACACGACACCACTTTTCATAGTCCTTCTAGACAAGCAGTAGCTTCCGCGAAATCTGCTCCTTTGTACCGCAGGATATAGTCCCAGGCACATAGAAATATTCTTCATGATGATCTCGAACCACAACCCTCCATGCTCTGCTGCTACTCTCCTCCAAGAAACTTCCATCAACATTAACCTCTCTAAGACAACTAATTCAGAACAGGTGAGTATTTTGCCACCAGTAACGGGTGTTCTCGCAAAAAATAAAAGAGGACCAAGAGGTGAACGACCAAAACCCTAGCCGCCACCCCATTTATTCCCCTCCTATGGCCGCCAACACGCGTCTCCGGGCAAAGTTCGTCAGCGTCGGCGTCGACAGGAAGGTCCTGATCGACGGGCGGCCTGCTTGTGGAGGAGTTGAAGGGTTGATGCGGGGTGGCAAAGGAGATGTGTTCTTGGGTGGCAGTCTTTGTCAGGCAGTGCTCAATGGCAGAAGTGTTGATCCAGGGCGTCGATCTTCAGCAACGGCCTAGCCTAGCTAGGTCACTAGAGAAGAGGGAGTTAGTGCTTGGTCCTAGACGGCGACGAGCTAGACATAAGACATGCACTTGACGTGAAGCAACATGAGTGTTTATTTCCAGATTTTCTTTAGGGAGTCTTCGAGTTTGGTTTGGAGGAACAAGGCGGTGTTGTTGTTTCACTGTAGGAATAATGTGATCCCCGTTTTTTTTGTTTTATTGGCGTTCTTATCATAGGTAGGCGTGGAGCTGTCTCTCCGGCAGGTCCTTTGAGATCCGATCAATTTAGGTTTTCGCTGGATCCAACTGAATTTAGTTGGTTTTGTTGTCTTCAGAATTTCTACAAGTCCTTATATGCATTTCTTCTCCGAGCCACCCGGCGCCAATGCAGAAGGATGTCGCTGAAAATAATGGAACGCTGCTTCTCTCTGCTGGATCCGTCGGATCACATATAAGATGCTCACACTTTACCCCCCGAGGATCTCCCCTTATCTTAGAACGGTCTTATGACCATTTGCTTCGTAGATCGCTGATCTACATCAATGACTTTTCGACCACTGTTTCTACAAACTCACGGGTTAAAAAATTTGCTCCCCCTAGGTGAAGATCAAAAGACAACATCAATGTATGCTCACGGCGCGTTGCCGATGGATGCATAAGAAAGGAGACTTGGGCACCACAAAATATTTTGATATGAATTATTAAATTTTGTATGTGTGTGTTTGTAAGGACATGTTTGATTCGGTCGTGGGCCGGACGATATACCCCACCTTTGTAATCTGGACAATCCCCTTTTTGAGTCAATAAATTCCCTTTTACCTCGAGAAAAAGGACGTGTGATGTTTTTTTTGAACATTAGTTCAGACACAAGCGCTCATATACACGTGCATACACTCACCCCTATGAACGCACACACGCACACCCTATCCCTATGAGCACCTTTGAAAGACTGAGCTGGCATATCATTTTGAGATTTACGAAGTGATGCGGAGCATCCTTCCATCATCCCCATGGACTCTACATCGACACATCCAACCCCACGAGGACCCATGACAAGAGCTAGAGCACGTGCTCTCGAAACCGAGGTGAACTCCTTCCTACTAGACTTGCATGTGGACACGAATGTAACATGTTTGCTACCTCACCAAGATATGCTATGCCTCCTTAGGTATGAAGTGGAACATCCCCAAGGAGAAGGAGGACCACCCCAAGGCCGTATGAATCAAGACGGAGTGCAACAGCAGCAAAACAGGAAGTCCCAGGTGACCCCGTGCGCACTGAAGGAAATATGCCCTAGAGGCAATAATAAAGTTATTATTTATTTCCTTATATCATGATAAATGTTTATTATTCATGCTAGAATTGTATTAACCGGAAACATAATACATGTGTGAATACATAGACAAACATAGTGTCACTAGTATGCCTCTACTTGACTAGCTCGTTTATCAAAGATGGTTATGTTTCCTAACCATGGACAAAAGAGTTGTCATTTGATTAACGGGATCACATCATTAGGAGAATGATGTGATTGACATGACCCATTCCGTTAGCCTAGCACTTGATCGTTTGGTATACTGCTATTGCTTTCTTCATGACTTATACATGTTCCTGTAACTATGAGAATTATGCAACTCCCGCATACCGGAGGAACATTTTGGGTACTACCAAACGTCACAACGTAACTGGGTGATTATAAAGGAGTACTACAGGTGTCTCCGAAGGTACATGTTGAGTTGGCGTATTTCGAGATTAGGTTTTGTCACTCCGATTGTCGGAGAGGTATCTCTGGGCCCTCTCGGTAATACTCATCACCTAAGCCTTGCAAGCATTGTAACTAATGAGTTAGTTATGAGATGATGTATTACGTAACGAGTAAAGAGACTTGCCAGTAACGAGATTGAACTAGGTATTGGATACCGACGATCAAATCTCGGGCAAGTAACATACCGATGACAAAGGGAACAACGTATGTTGTTATGCGGTTTGACCGATAAAGATCTTCGTAGAATATGTAGGAACCAATATGGGCATCCAGGTTCCGCTATTGGTTATTGACCGAGAATAGTTCTAGGCCATGTCTACATAGTTCTCGAACCCGTAGGGTCCGCACGCTTAACGTTACGATGACAGTTTTATTATGAGTTTATGAATTTTGATGTACCGAAGGAGTTGGGAGTCCCGGATGAGATCGGGGACATGACGAGGAGTCTCGAAATGATCGAGACGTAAAGATCGATATATTGGATGACTATATTCGGAGTTTGGAAAGGTTCCGAGTGATTCGGGTATTTTTCGAAGTACCGGAGAGTTACGGGAATTCGCCGGGGAGTATATGGGCCTTATTGGGCCATACGGGAATAGAGGAGAGAGGCCGAAAGGAAGGAGGCACGCAGCCCCCCTCTGGTCCGAATTGGACAAGGGGTGCGGCCCCCCTTTCCTTCCTCCTCTCCCCCTCTTTCCCCCCTTCTCCTACTCCAACAAGGAAGGAGGGAGTCCTACTCCGGGTGGGAGTAGGACTCCCCTTGGCGCGCCTCTCCCTGGCCGGCGCCTCCTCCCCTTGCTCCTTTATATACGGGGGCAGGG